AATACTGGGTCATGTTGGTATCTGGGTGGAACACTATGCCAAGTCTATATAGAGTTGGTTCCTATAGGCAGAGAATTTATCTAAGAGATATGACCAGGCAAGAGGAGAGTCTTCAGACCACATGGAGACAGTTGAATGTTTATATAATCCAGGGAAAAACTGAACACAAGGTTGCCATTAGTCTAGGCTCAGGTGAGACAAGGTACACCACAGTCTCTGCAGCTCGGCAAAGCCTTATATGAAGAATTGGACTTCAGACTGCAAATGCCTGAGACATCAAATAGTACGTGATGAGGAAGGGCAACCCCTGTGGTCAGATGGAGGTTTTCAGACAATCTGTATAAGGATGGAGTTTCATGTCTGCATCAATGAGGCCAACAGCTTCCTTCAGTCCTGTACACATAGGTCACCATCAGTAAGTCCAGTTTTCTTTTTCTCAGGTGCTGCCCCCTACTTGAAGACCAAGTTTATCTGTGTGACACCGTAAGTGGCTTCCTTTCCCAAATGTTGCATTCATTTCTGATGTCCTCAGTTATCCCCCAGGAATAGGGAGGACACCGGGTGAGAGTATCCCATGAAGGGTTGGAAGCTCCTGGGCTGTGTTTAGCACTCAGAGTGACCTTGTGTGTTAAAAAGCTTGAGCTTTTATTTTTCTGTTGGAGACCAGAGTTTGATGGCTTGTGTGTGTGTGTTTTGTTCTTTTTTTTTTTTTCCTCCATTGTGTCTTGTCAACCCGGCCCTTTCCCCTCCTGCCGCTCCCCATTTCCTACAGAACGACCTGCAGCAATACCATTGACCTGCCGATGTCCCCCCGCACTTTAGATTCATTGATGCAGTTTGGAAATAATGGTGAAGGTGCTGAGCCCTCAGCAGGAGGGCAGTTTGGTGAGTATTTGGTGCTCAGACTTTGTCCCTGTGAGGCATGTCGGCCCACTTTCCATGATCTTGATGTGTACAGAGCCTGTCACCACATTGGTAGGAGGAGGTTCTAGAGCACTCCAGCAGAAACAGAATGTACACCATGAATATAAATATAATTTTTCTAGTAGCCCTATTGAAGACAGTAAAAAGCAACAGATGAAGTTAATTTTTACAATATATTTTATTGAACCCAGTAAATCTGATGTACATAAGAAAAAAATTAGTTTTGCATTTTTTTTTTTATTCCAAGTCTTCTAAATGTAGGCTTTTGACAACTATAACACACCTTGATTTGGACTAGTCACATTTTAGGCACTTGGTGCCTAAGGCTGCCATGTTTAGATCTTCTTGAAACATGGAGAGCTGGGAGTGAGTCAGGTAGGAAAGAAGCTGAGCCCTTCCAGAGGGCAGGGCCCTGTAGGAAGGGGAGGAAATCTGGCTTTTCTGACCCTGTTTTGGCCTGAAGGGGCAGAAGACTGGTGAGCATGGTGACCTGAGCCCTGTCCCCTGAAGGGCTGGGGGGATGTGCCCTGCCTGCTTCAGGGTCAGGTGGCTGAACCAGCATTTTCTCTCTCTTCAGAGTCCCTCACATTTGACATGGAGTTGACCTCGGAGTGTGCTACCTCCCCCATGTGAGGAGCGAGAACGGAAGCTGCAGAGATGTGACTGAGGCACCTACCCGTGTTCCACCGCCCCTTAAGCAGCCAAACCCCAGAGCATCTGAAGCTCCTCTTTGTGGTTCCAGATTTTTTTTTTTTTTTCAAATCTCCTACTTCTGCTATCTTTGAGCAATCTGGGCACTTTTTAAAATAGAGAAACGAGTGAGTGTGGGTGATGTGCTTTTATCTAAATGCAAAGAAGAACGTTCTCTGAGACCCTGATGGGGGCATGGAAGGGGGTGGCCAGCGGGAGAAAAACGGAAATGTCTTGTATTCTTTTGTTCCCCCTGCCCTCTTTCTCAGCAGCTTATTGTTGTCGTTTGTTGTTAGACAAGTGCCTGCTGGTGCCATCGGCATCCTTCTGCCCATTTCTGTGAGCTAATGCCACAGGCTGCCTGTAGCTGCATACTCTTGGCATTGCACTTTTAACCTTGCTAACGTCCAAATAGAAGATAGGACTATCTAAACCCCTAGGTTTCTTTTTAAATTAAAAACATAATAATAATTAAAGGGCAAAACACACTGTAGCAGCATAGCCTTTCTGCATTTAAGAAGACTCAGTTCATGGCCTCCTTGGTGCTTTAAGCATTCAGCTATCTTCAGGCTGATAATTTATATAAACCCTGAAATGGGTATCAGATCAAACCCTTAAAAGACATCGAAGCTATGGCATGGCTCTTGGGTTTGAACTGGGAGGGTTGAGGAGAACCAAACATCCCAGACTCTTGTTATTTTATTTTCCTTGGAGTGTGTTGGCCTGCTAGAGGGTAAGGCTGGGAGGGGGGCCTGAAAATCCTTGCTCCCTTTCTCTTTGGACTTTGGCCCTTGTTCAGAGCCAGCTTGTTCCTGCGTGTTCCTTATCAGGCCTAGGATCCCGCTGGCTTCCTTTCCCACAGATCCCTGCTAGTGGCACAGCTCCTTCCCTCGTCTAAAGGACCCCTGTCCCATTTGTTTTAGGAATCCTGGTCTTAGGACCTCGGGAGATAAAAGAGAGAAGTTATAGGTTGAACATGACTCAGACTCCAGGTCCCCAACAAAGTGTCTAGTTGAGCTCAGGGAATATGGTTCTTATCCCAGTTTCTTGGTGACATCCAAAGGCACCTGTACCCCTTCTTCACTTGTTAATATAGGGCCAAGGCTGACTGATAAAATCAAGGTCTGTCCCTCCTGTGAGGTGTACACACCTGGCCTCCCCCAAAGCTGGTGACTGTCTGCCCCCTCTGGGGCCCCCGGGTGAGGCAGAACAATGCCTGCACCTGCTCTGGCCTTCCTGTCAGTGCCTGCCTCCGCCTGTCAGCACACCTCCGCCCTGCATTTTGGAACGCTTAGCAGCTGGCGACATGGGCCTTCTCTGACCAAGAGGCATGGCTGGATTTGGTGACTCAAAACCACCTTGCCTCAGTTGATCAGATTGATAGAATTCTGTTTGTTAGACCCAGATTAACTATAGCCTGGATTAAGGGGGTGAGGATGAACAGGGCTTGCCTCGACCACCTGTGTCCTCTGGCCTCAAGATGGTTATTTGTGTAGGGAGCTTTCCCTTCTCCAGTAACACTCTTCAGTACACAATAAGCTGAACTCATAAACTGAGAGAATATGTAGAAAGGTGAGGCTGGGGCTTACCTTTGGGTTTAATCCCTAGGGACCTAGGGCAAGGGCTTGGGCTTCTCTGGAACAAGTATTATAAAGTTCATGGCTTTAGGTAGCATGCTCGCCTGGTTTTAACTGATTATATATAGCAAAAGTTCTGACAGGAGCTGAGTCTTATTCTGGCCCCCCCTTCAAAAAAACAGAGTCCTCAGGACCTGCCCATTTTTTGTCTGTTGTCCCCTACCGGTCCCCAGCCAAGCCAAGGAATTCCCGTGGTTTGTAAGCTGCTGTCCCTAGCCACTGCATTCGAATTCCAATGTATACTTCCTAGTGTAAAAATTTATATTATTGTGGGTTTTTTTTGTATATTGCTGTATCTACTTTAACTTCCAGAAATAAAAATTATATAGGAACCGTCTAATAGCGTGGCAGCTCCATTTGTGCTGACGAGGCTCCTTTTGCCCTGCTTCTGTCTGGAGGGGTCTTCCACTCAGGCCCAGCTGGGGTGGGAGCAAGAGGGCCTTGGGAGGAAGAGGCCCCAGCTCCAGGACTGAGATTCCCTTCACCTCTCATTCCTGAGGTGATGCCTGGCCCCCCATCTTATGTTAGCCACTAGCCTCCAGGTGAGAGGTAACCCAGGAGCAAAGGGTTATAGTCCAGTGACACAAAGGTGTCAAAGCAGCCCTTTCCCTCTTCTCTTCTCTCCTCCCTCCCAAAGCTGCTGTGTCCTGTCTGGGGTCCGATAAGCTACCTAAAGGGGGGTTGGGGTGTAGATTCCCTCCCAAGGCCTTTGGCTATAGTTGCCCGTTATCGCCTTCTCTTCAGTTCACTCAGTGGGAACAACACACAGACATTTCACTAGCTGGTTGCTGTGGGGCCCCTGGGCGGTCAGTGGCGATAATTCAGGGAAAGGCCACCAACACCAGTGCTGGCTCTGCATCAGCATCCCCCCGCCCCCACTCACGGCCCCAGTGCCATGAAAACAGAGCCAGTGTGAGATACTGCGTTTCCCCTGCAGAGATGCAACCAGAGATAGTGTGGCTGGGGCGGGTGGTGGCGCCTRCCTTCTCTCCCACCCCCACCCTCTACCGCCTGCCAGCCTGCTCTGGGCCCCTGCACCTCCCTGGGACAGACTGTAAGCCCCTGCCCCCAACCTGCTTTGAGTTCTGAATAAACTTGTCCACAGTTCCTTACTCCCCCACCCCACACTCCAAGCCCCAGCCTCACCTCCTAGACTGACCACAGCTGGGGACTAGGAAGCCTACAGGTGGGAAGCTGGTCCTCTCTCCTCCCTGGCCAGCCTTCCTCACACTCAGGCCAGAGCGGCAGTTGGATGGTGCCACCTGCTGGTCTCTGGGAAGAGGCCAGGGGAGGATGGACTTTCCTACTGGCTCTCAGCTGCCTTGGCCCCAGGAGGGTTGACAATCACCTTGACACTGACCCTCAGATGCCAGCTTCAAGATTGCTCTTAGCAGCAGTAAATAAAAGGGGGGGCCTAGAGCTCAGCTCTGCCCATCCTATGGGYCCCCTCCCCCAGTGAGTCCTTCCCCTTCTTTTCTCTAGACCTCAAGCTTCTGCGTTCTTGGGCATGTGTGCCCCCTTACCTAGTGCTGTAGCCCCCTGAGAAGCATTGACAGTATTCTGGGGGCGGTCAGACTCCTAGAGTAGACAGAGGGGAGCAGAGTTGCGGTCTCAGGCTAAAACTTACAGCATAGACCACATAGGAACGAAACAACTCCAGCTCTAGTGATTGTCATCAGCCAGGGAGACCACCACCAGTCCCCCAAACCAGGAGGAAGACAGAAAATTTATGAAAATATTTTATTCCAAAACACTGTTTACACAAATGTGTGGTCTATGTACAAAGTACAAAAGAATCCATCTTTCTGTCCCCACTTCCCTTCAGAGAGGTTTAAACCTGGGACTCCCAATCTCTGCTGTCAGCTGCCCTGGCTGCGTGTCATGTAACCTTGGAGGAGCACTTGAGACTGGAGTTAGGCCTTCTCTGGACATGAGGCCTGTTCCAGATTCCACCTCCTAGCAGAGTGGAGCGGTTCTAACCCTTCACTCTAGACTCCATGGGCCTGCAGCAACTGGGAGGTGGCAGCTTGTCCCTTGCTGCAGTTCCCCTCTCCCCAGGGGATGGCATCAGCCTTGCAAATCTCAGGCCTTCTGTTCACCCACCATGTCCTGAAACAATTTTTTCCTCCTTTCTCATCAGCAAGGTTGCAAACAGAGGCAAGAAAGAAGCCCAGCGCAGGATGGAAAAGGGGATATTGCAGGGAACCCCACAGCCTGGACTCAAGTACAAGAGGCCAAGACACTACGTGCTCAGAGCAGCTCCAATAGCTCTGGTTCAAATGAACCCACTTCACTATGTTAGGAAATGGCTCCGGCCTAGACATGCTCTCAGAGGGCTCACCAAAAACCTGGAGTCCACATTCACTACATTATGAAATATCAAGAATGAACCTCCGCCTCCCTCTGGAGGGAAAGCATCAGTTAGACCACCATATGTGCATGGGGACAGATGCACATCTGTGTACATATATGGGCACAGGCATCAGGAGGGCGAAGCTTCTAGCTCAGGAGTAAAACTGCAGCTTAGAACATTTACCTGTCTCCTTTCCTTTTCTGGAATAATTTCACTTTAACAGCTACCAGCAGATAAAGGACATGAGAGGAAGAGGTTTGCCTGCAACGAGTACCTACAATGACAGAAGCTCCATCTCTTGCATGAGACAGACAGACCCAYTGGGCTCCTGGAGGTCTTGATCTGAACCAAAAGGCCACCACTGCTTCAGCCACTCAAGGGCGAGGTGGGCACACCTCGTACCCAAACGCATGCACACAAAGGCATCAGTACACACAGCAGTGCTGCGACCACAACTGGAACGGAGTCTCCACATTGAATACTGTTTCCAAAGAGAAGCGTGGCATTCAAATATTCATGACAGGGAGCTTCTGGCAGAGGTGAAGAGACCAGCAGGCGGGGAGAGGCGGGGGTCCATACTGTCCATGGGCCTGCGTAAGAGTTCTTCCACGTGCCGGGCGACATCCATGGTCTCATCCAAGTCAAATTCTCCATCCTGATCGAGGACGGGATCCGGGCTGGCGAACAGAAGGATGTCAGGGGAACTGGCATGTCTCTTAGCCCCAAGTCCTCCAGGACAGTCCCCAGCCTGCTTCCCACTCATCCTAGTGTCTCATGAGGACAGACACAGTTCTGGAGGGACCCCTTCCTCCAGGCTGGATAGCAGTCACTCACTGGTTCTTTGGGACACATCCCACTTCCACTTGCGGTTTTTTTTTTTTTTTTTTTTTTGGTACCCAGGGGTGCTTGACCACTGAGCCACATCCCAGGCCTTTTTTTATATTTTATTTAGAGACGGGGTCTCACTGAGTTGCTCAGGGCCTTGATAAGTTGCTGAGGCTGGCTTTGAACTCACGATCCTCGGGCTTCAGCCTCCAGAGCCACTGGGATTATAGGCCTGCACCACCGTGCCCAGCTCACTTGAATCTCTTGCTACCTCATAGCATGATCTAGGGAGTCRTTTCCCTCTCCTTGTGCTCATCTGTAAGCGGAGCGGTTGGGTTGATGAACTGCACCCACCTGCAATGCCATTCAATGACCTCATACACATCTTTCACTGAGGACTCACAAAAAGCTTTTAACCAGTCCTCACAGCCTCTTAAGGCAGGTGTTCACTCCATTTTATGGTGTAAGCAACCTGACTGCCATGCCTGTGGTAGTCYCACTGTTGCTTGCCCCTCCCAGGCCACCACAGTGCAGAAAGGATCCATTTTCTACCCTGCTCCCCTCTGATGCACAGCTACCCTGAATCAAGCCCTTCCAACAGCCTCACCAGTGTAAGAAAACTACCCACCCAGGCCTAGCCTGGTGGTTGCAGACCTAGAGRAGCTCCGGATTCCTTGGTCCCACCAGCCCTCTAGGCCTCCAGCCTGAGGTCAGGGCCCAGTTCCTCCCCATAGACCCCAGAAGAACACAACTTACTTCTGTGGGTACATATTGTAGTGAGCCTGGGGACACACAGACGGGGAGGGGGCCTGGTCCATGTACGTGGCGCTGGCCCCAGCGTCTGTATTTGCGTTCACAAATCTGCAGAGGGAAGCAGAACATGGCCTCCATTGCCTGGGGCCTGGCTGGCAGCTGACCTGGGGAGGGGCTCTGGGGAAATCTTTAGGTCCTTTCTGAGGTGTACAAGGACAAAGTGTCCCACCGGGCCCAAGGTCCCCAGCTATGGGAATGGAACCCTGGATGTCAGTCACAGCACAATCAGGTCCAGTCCCTTCCCATGCCGGGTTGAGCCAGGTTTCCCGGGGGATCAGGGATGTTGGCCCAGGGTTAGGGGTGGCTGTGTCAGGGTGGGGAAGGGAGAGGCAGCCGGAGGCCTGCAGCTGGGCCCTGGACACTTACTCTGGGACCACTTGCTTGATCTGTGGCTTCACATACCCGTCCACCGCCTTGCCCCCTTGACGAAAAGAAAAGCAAGGTCTCTGGGAGATGCACGTGAATAGAAGCCCAGCCATGCCCTCCGCCTCCTGCCCGCACCACCCTGAGGCCTTCTCAGGGTGAGATTTCCCAAGGACTCACAAAAAAAAACACCTGCTGAGGGTCACCACCCCCTGGCTTTAGTCCCATCTCTGATTCCTTTTCTGGTTTTACTCTCCCTCCTCCTGCTCCCACCCCTGACAAGAGACAGAAACAAGAAGCCGCAGCCTGGGGAGGCTGAAGAGGAGAAACCTGTCCATTTTGCTTCCTACACTCAACTTGGGGGCAGGTTGTGGGGTGGGGCGTGGTGAGAAAGTCAGAGGTCCGTGAGGATGGGAATCATCCCGCTTTCTCCCCCAACCCTGCAAAGTGAGAATTCAGCTTCTTTAGCTTGCCCGAGAAAAAAACAAAAAACTAGTACAAGTTTCACTTCCTCTCCTACAGTTGTGAGCCCTGAGGTCCTCTTCATTGTCCCATGGACCAAAATCTACAGGGGAAACGGCATCGGGTTTCTCCTGGGGAACCCTCACTGCCCAACCCTATGACTCTGTTCAGGGGCTTGGGAAAGGCCCAGGGGGTCAGGCATCAGGACCCACCTACAACGGGAGTGTAGTACTTGGAGAAGACCTCAGCCTTGGGGCGGTCAGGGAACACGTAGATGAGATAGTTCAGGTCCCCCAGTCGGTCAGCCAGGGATCGGATAGAGAAATCCCGCGTGGTGAATGGTTTCAGGTTCCACAGGTTGCGGTCGGCTGTGAAAGGAACAACCTCATTCCCGCAAGCTACTCCCACAGGAGAAGGTCATGGTTGTGAATTTCCTGCCTCAGCTTTCCAAGTCACTGAGATTTCAGGTATGAACCGCTGCATCTGGCTTTTGGGTTTTTTTCTTTAACTTTTTTTTTTTTCCAGTGGTCAATGGACTTTATTTATTTATATGTGGTGCTGAGAATCGAACCCAGTTAGGTTCGAACACAGGTTAGGCAAGTGCTCTACCACTGAGCCCCAGCCCCAGCCCTGGCTTATGGGGTTTTAAGGAGGGCTCACAGAGAAACCTGGGTTTTTTTCCTCGCTCACACTACGATCCCAGCCTGCATGCCTTTTCACACGGGAAAGCGCACACTGGAACATTCTACTTAGCAAACCGGGCAAGTAGACACCAGCAAGGCCAACCATGGCAGAGCAGGGACAGCATGAAACATCTGGGGACCCACTCAGCAGTTCTGGAGTCTGTGGGGCCAGCAATTTTAGGTTCTCCAAGATGAAAAATGCTAGGAAGTGGTTACATTTCCAAGCAACACTCCTCCCACGCCGAGCTTAGTTCCTGCTTTTCCCAGTGGGTGCCTTCTGAGGACACAGGCCTGAAGGAGGATGGGGAGCAAGGACATGGGAGACAGAGCCCCTGGGTAGGAGTGAGGGTGACATGGGCACTCACGAGAGTCAAACTTCCAGGCAATGGTGATGCCCCCGATTTCCGAGTCGCTGAAGCGCAATAAGAAGGTGCCATCGGGCTTGTTGATGAGCAGGTCATGCGCCTGTTGCTTATTCACAAAACCTAGGATGGCCCTGGGTGCATGGAGCACGTGATGTTACTGCTGGGCCGACAGCTGGTGTCCCCAGGCTGTCCCCCTGCCTCCCGGCTCTGTGATCCTGTTCCTCACCCGTCGTTCCAGTGAGGCTTGTGGTGCTTCTTCAGCACTTCCATCACCCCGTCAAACCACTGCCAGAAGGTGTAGTTCCAGCCTGGCAAGTTCTCCTGAGAGCCCCAGGAAACCCAGAGTCAAGGCTGGGGTCCAAGTCACCCAGAGTGAACTTGCCCCATGCTTCTAGACACAAGGGTCCCACACGACCCCCTGGTGCAGGGTGAACTGTTGTTTGAGACAGGGTCTCCCTTAATTTACTGAGGTTGGCCTCTAACTTGCGATCCTCCTGCCTCAGCCTCCCCAATTGTTGGGATTTCAGGCACATGCCATTTCGCCTGGCTTGGGGGTAGGTGCTGTAAAGCACTCTCCAGGCTGGATGGCCTTCCAAGGACATTTCTGCTTCACCCTCTCATGTGACAGATGGGAAACTGAAGCACAGGGGGTCAAATGGGCCTGCAAATTAGTTAACAGATCTAGTACTTGAACCCCAGCCCCAGGTTCCTTCCACCATCCTGCTCCAGTTTGCACAGCTGAGTGCAATTCCTTGTGGCCCCTGTCTGTATTTCCTGGGGTCTAAGCCCCCATCTCTCCTGACTGTAGGAAGAAGTGCTTGGGGGTGGAAGGTGAAGGGTGGGACCCTAGCCCCAGGCATCAGCCTGTCCCTGATGTGGAGGAGAAGTGACAGGACCCCAGTAGTCTCAGGCAGGCAGTTGGAAGCCCAGGTTCCTCACCCTGTTGAACTGGGACCAGGACACCGACATGCTGTTGTAGTCCTCGAGGTGGGCGCTGCTGCTGTTGAACAGTTTCTGCGCCAGGAACACGAGGTTCTCCTTGGTCAGGCCGCGGTTGCTCTGCACTTCGGCCTTGAATTTCATGTTGAGAGCTTCACACAGCTGTGGCCACAGCACTTTGTCAGGCACAGCAAATGGCACCCTGCCCTGAGAGGGAGATGGAGAAAATGGGAAGAAAAGGCAGATGGAGAGAGCTGGAAATTTTTACACATATACATGACACACAGAGACTAAGAGAGGATGGAAGACAATCCAGAAAGGAGACAGAAACACAAGGGGGAAGAGAGGAAGGAGCTGGGCATGTGGGGCGGGGTGGGGGGATGATGACATACATGCCTATAATCCCAGCAGCTCAGGAGGCTGAGGCAGGAGGACCTTGAGTTCAAAGCCAGCCTCAGCAACTTCGAGGTGCTAAGCAACTAACTCAGTGAGACTCTGTCTCTAATAAAATACCAAATAGGGCTGGGGATGGGGATCAGTGGTCGAGTGTCCCTGAGTTCAACCCCTGGTTATCCCCCACACACACACACAAAAAAAAAAAAAAAAGGAAGGAAGGAAGGAAGAAAACAGGGAGAGGGGGCTTGCAGGATTGGAGACCCAGACCCAGGGATCAGGCATCCCAGCCATAAGGCCAACAAAGTTCAGAGACCAGGGACCAAAGAGCAGGCTCATGGACTTCAGAGAGTTCAGTCCAGAAACCTGGAACTTTGACAGCCCCAGGACAGGCCTGAGAACAGGGCACTTGTTCATCCAGCTTCACTTTGGTTCTGGGGTCAGGACCCCCTTTAGCAGGGGCCCATGGAGTGAAGGCTGACCCTATGGAGAGCTCTGGGGCCCAGGGGGACAATGTGGAAATCCTGTAGGGACTCACCGGCTCAGCAAAGGCATTGTCCCACAGCACAGTGGCGGTGGCATTATGGTCCTGGCTGCCATGAACGATGACAACCACAGGGAGGGACAGGGTCTATGGAAGTCAAAGGAATGAAAGGTGAAAGGGACTGAGCACCATTTTGCTCTCTGCCCAGACAAAACTCCCAGCCCTCATTCCTTACCCACAATTCCAAGCACAGGCCCTTCCCAACAAATGCTAAGCACAAGCTGACCCAAAACACAAATTTTTTTTTTTCTTTTCCTCAGTCCTTGACTAAGTTGCCTGGGCCAGCAGCACCAGGTGATAATACAACAAACAGGTGCCTGCAGAGTGGGATTTCTGACCGCGGGGTGGGATGACTGCGCTGAGACTGAGAGCAGTCAAGAGATTTCTGATTTTCCCGAATCAACCTCTCTGGGTGACCTTTGGGGACAGGTGTGGGGGGCCTCACCTTCACCTGGAACACAAGCTCATTGCTGCCAACACTGAACTGAGACTCAAACAGGACCGTGAACTTCTCCTCTGTTACAGACTCTGCACCCCGTCGGTCAGCGCGCTTGATTCTCTTCAGCGACTGCAGGGCAGGAGGCCAGAAGAGGACAGGGAGACTTTGGCTGGTTACGAGGATTCAGCCTTGGGCAGACCTTCCCTCTGAGGCCAGGCCCAGTGCTCACCATGTTTCTGAAGTGGGCGCTGAGGGTGCCCGTGGCTTGGTGGTACTCCATGACACAGCAGTTGTTCAAGATCTCGCCACTGCACTCGCTACAAAGGAGAGGGGTACCCCAGGTTCACACAGGCCCCCCGTGAGGACCAACATCCTGTCCACAGCTTGGACTGGCGTTTGACAGCGTTTGGCTCTTGCCAGGAGCCCCTCTCCCCAYCCCCTAAGAGTATTCCTTGGTGTCACACTGGGATATTGTCTTCTCCATCAGTCTGCCAGACCAAGGCAAGGTCTCTAAGGGGGAGGCTGGGTCTCTAGCATCAGGTTAGAAGTTTCTTGGGTCAGGGGCAGATGTGCACTCCTGTAATCCCAGCAGCTCAGGAGGCTGAGGCAGGAGGATCACAAGTTCAAAGCCAGCCTCAGCAACCTAGCAAGGCCCTAAGCAACTCAGCAAAACCCTGTCTCAAAATAAAAAAACTAAAAAGGGTCGAGGATGTGCCTTAGTGGGTTCAATCCCTAGAATCAAATTAGAAAAAAAAAAAAAAGTTTCTTGAGTACTGACATTGAGATTGAGGTGGGGCTTTCAGGACCTCTGGCAGCTTCTAGTGCAGTTACCATAAAAACCCTGATGACGGCCTACAAGGATCTCCATGATCAACCCCTGCCCTGTTCCCTGGTCTGAGTTCCCCTCCCTTCACTCAGGACAGGCAAATCACACTGGCCTTGACTGCGGAACAAGGCAGGCTTGGTGCCTACCTCAGGACTTTTGCACTTGCTCTTGTCACTACCCCAAACACTCTTGAGTGCTCATTCAAGTCTTGGCTCAACTGTCTCCACAGAAGACCTTCCTTGACTTGTCTAGAGCTGCTCAACACCCTGCCCTGCTCCCACATCTGAAAGCTATGATATCACTATTTTAATTTTCTCTCACACTTTTTGGTAATACCTTATTTTTAAAAAGTGTGCTATTCTCTGATTCCGCAGCTAACCTGAGAGCTCCTTTACCACACATTCCCTAGATCACAGACTGGGCATTCAGGAAACCGTTTAACTGGGTGATACAGGACGGGACCAGGTCTCCCATGCAACTCATTCTTTCATTCACCACATAAGTTGTGGGTAGCCTTCCCTGTCCCCTGAGCCCCAACCTTGACCACATGTATTTTCTTTATACTTTTCCTTTGGGACATAGTACAATTTCTGTGTCTGGAAAAGTCTTTCTTCTCTAGCTTGGGCACTAGCCACTTGTGTCCCACTGCTAACCTGAGACCACCATCTGCAACAAGACCCCCTTCCAGGATGCCCTGTATGTGTCCCTGGTCACATACACTAGTAATCACTTCTCTGTGTCAGCAGCTTGCTCTGTTAATCAATGGCTGAGGGACCTCATAAGATCGGTCTAGAAACAGCTGTGTCCCTACTGCTCTGCACAGTGAACAGGTCATGTGGCAGCGCAATACTTGATGACCTACTAAGTTCCAGCAACCAGCAAGGCGGAGAAAGTTCTCTGAGTGGGGCCTCCCTGAGTCTACTGTACTTGGGAGCAGAGTGAACCAAGGAGAGGGGACCTGTGGGACACAGGCACAGAGGAAGCAAACCTGTTGCCCCAGTCCATGGGACCTCCAAAACCCAGCATGGGGAATGCAGGCAGGAGGGACAGGCACACTCACTTGCGGGTGTTCTCGTTCTTGAGCAGGGACTTGGCCTGCTGCTCRCTGATGATGGTCGCCTTCACCTGGGGGGGGTTCATGTGCACATTCAGCTTCCCGCCCACCAGCAGGCGCACGGTGGCCGCAAACTTGGTCTGCGTCTTCAGGACCTGAGGGGGCTGCTTCTCAATGATGAATGTGCTGCAGGGGACATGAGTGACCAGACACACGATGAGATGCAGGCGTGGGAGTGGGGGAAGAGTCTCTCTCTGAGGAAAGGGACCTCCCACAGGTCTARCAGGCGAAGGACAACACAAGGCTTCTGTACCCAGAAATAAGGGAGGGCAAGCAGAGGYACCTCCCTCAGTGTCCACACCAGAAACTGGGCCAGGGCCGCCCCAAGCAGCCAGAGCAACTGGAGATGCAGTGGGAGAGGATGMGAGGCACAGCCTGTGGTCTGGATGGCACCTGCGGCCTCCCACATGCCAACCCCAAGGGAACTGCTCTGCCCTGGGCATGGTGGAGAGGCAGCAGTCACCTGGTGACCAGGGCAGAGATGATATCTGTGATGGTGGCRTTGACTTCKGCCAGCATCTCCTCCACTGGGCCAGGGATGGGCAGCTGTTGGCAGAGGTGCTCGGCTCTGCGGATCTGCTGCCGGTTCTGCCAGATGATCTCGGCCAACTTCTCACACCTGCGAGGAGTCCCAGGGCCCACATGGGAATGATGGCTTCTTCCCCACCCTGGGCCAGAGCCTGGGGGCTCCCAGCCTAGGGAGACCCCCCCCCCAACATAGCTGTACCTGCACAGCAAGGACCTACCCAGGACGGCACAGCAATTCCCCACCCCATGGTCCATGGGTACACAGGGCACTCCTGCCTTCCAGAAGTAGAGGATGCACGGGAGGCCACCCTGATTTGGGTCCAACCAGCCCAAGAGTCACTGCATACCAAAGCCCTGTCCCTTTCCCCAACATGTGACTGACTGCATCCCTGGGGAAATGGAACAGGGAACAAAGTCCATATCTAAACCAGGACACTGGTGAGATGAGGGCTGTCACAAGTCAGAAGGAGCCTGCTGCTCAGGCCAAGGCAGGAGGCAGAAGAGGCAGCTGGCAGCACACCCTGGAGCCCTGCCACCCTGCTGCCTCCCCACAGCCCTCACCAGGACTGCAGCACGTCCAGGCTGCCCTCGGGGGGCCCTCCGTTCCCGGCCAGCTGCTGCCGCCGCTTCCACTGGATCAGCTCATCATCCAGGATGATGGTCTGTTGCTTCCGCAGCAGCTGCAGGGTCTTCTGGTGCTTCTCGGCCAGCTCCTGTGGGAAGGGGGACAGCAGCCTTTCTGGGCTCCTAGGGAACAGCCCTGCAGGGCCTCCCCTACAATCCCGGGGAGCCAGGCAGGCCCAGCAGGCCCTTCCCTCTCTGACCCYTGCCCTCACAGGACCCCAGWGAAGAGGGTCTGGCCCCCTGCTCTCCCYGGCTCTGTCCCTCCATCCAGTCACCAGAGAAGCAGGATCCTACTCACCACGCGGTACTGCTGCAGTGTCTGTGCCTCCCGCTGCAGCCAGGCCTCCAGGGACACCTGCTTCTGCTGGAGGGCTGTCTCCCGGCTCAGGCGCTCCTGGGGGTTCAGCTGGGCCAGCTGGGCAAACTGAGCTGGAGGAGGAGACCCAACACCCACCACCATCACTCCTGGCAACCCCAGGAAGCCCACAGCATTCCCACTCACCTGCTCTGGAGCAAGACCTCCAGGGTCAGACACCCACTGATGGCAAGTGGGGCTTCCTACCTACAGTCGCCGGTGCCCAAAGATGAAGACGCTCCCTCAGAAGGCAGCCTCTGGGCTYTGGTCACTGGCCTCCTGACCCAGCCTCCCYTYTGGGMAGTGGGTGCTCAGGACCCTGCTCGCCCCCAAACCCCTCTGGGTGAACTCTGCAAATCACTTTCTTTCCTGTGTCTCCGCTCCCCACACGTAAAATGGGAGAATCCTGGCAMMTGCTCAGGGCCTTGCTGTGGACTTTAAAGGAATGATGATGCACAAAATGCTCAAGGAGCAGCCAGGCAGGCCTGAATTCTATGTAGATTGGTCCTTATTGGTGACTGGCGGGTAGGACAAGAATGAAAGAGTGACAGAGACAAGCAGCTTCTGGGTCCCACCCTCACGTGCAGGGGACCTCGTCTGGGAGGCCCTGCTCCCTTATTTTGTCTCATCCCTGAACTTGGCAGTCCCTCCCCAGTGGTGAGTCTCACTAGGGGTTGCAAAGCATCTGACATGTCTGTCCAGGGYAGGTCAATGCAAAGGGACSRGGAGAGAAGGGGGTGAGAGGAGGGAGGAAATCAACAGAAGATGGGGACAATATCCAGGGCCTCTAGGACACAATTCAGCAAGATTCCCTTAGAAAGGGAGGGTGGAGGGAGGCATCACCAGCTGCTGGGAATCCCACTGATGGCAAGAATAGGGAGGGAGGGAGGCTTCCCTCCCTTTTTCAAAAATCTATGAACAAATCCTTAAGACATGGGTAAAGCAATGGCTGGGGCTGGGGCTCAGTGGTAGACCGCTTGCCTAGTATGCATGAGGCCCTGGGTTTGATCCTGAACAACACATTAAAATAAAATTTATAAAAACCTAAATAAACAAAATATACTAAAAAAAAGAAGAAGAAAAAGAAAAGAAAAAAGAAAGAAAAAGAGTAAAGCAAGAACTACCTGAGGATTAATAACCCCAAAACATGCCCACAGTTAAAGCTACCTGCCTACCTCCTCAGCTTGCAAACCTATCCCCCTCCGCAACAAAACAGTCTCCCCAGTGCTGGGATTATTACTCCCTTCCTATAACCCTCTTTATTTATTTATTTTGGTGCTGGGTATTGAACCCAGGGTTGCCTAACCAGTCACATTCCAGGTCCTTTTTATTTTCTGAGACAGAGTCTCACTAAATTGCTGAGGCCTTGCTAACTTGTTGAGACTGGCTTTAAACTTGCAATCCTGCCTCAGCCTCCAGAGCCGCTGGGATTACAGGTGTGCGCCACGGCGCACAGCTCCAATAACACTTTTGAACAGTACAGCATCCTTACTCAGACTGAATCAAGAAGATGTGTGTTGGCATGTCTTAGTCAAGTTCCTGGCTGGCTTGAGGGCCACATCACATTGACCTAGTCCCTGCCCCAGAGCTGGGACAGACAATAGCAATGCTGGACATCCAGGAAAAACAGAGAACCAGAACTTGGAAATATGGTTCCAATCTCATTGGAAGGTACTGAGTGGGAAGAGTATTACCCTTGCTTGGAACATAGCAGAGGGGCCCGATGGCTCCCCCAGGATCCTGCTGGCCCACAGGAGGGGAAGGGTGGTGGTGATCCCAACACCTGTACCCAGCCTCCCCATGCAAGTGACCCATTTTAGTCTCTCCTGGCCATATGCAGGTGTTTCTGGGAAGGAGGCCAAATGGATCTGAGGTAACTGCTCTCTCCTGGGGACTTGGGCCTTCACTTGCACAACAGATCAATAGTCTGTGTTTGCAATGGTGAGGCAGATAAAACAGACAGAACTGACACCATATACACGGTGGGTGCAAACCTAAACCAGAATCTAAACCTAAACCTACACATGGGCAATTGAAACCCACATCCAGGTTCATAAATCTTGTAATCAAAGAACTTAGGTAGAAACCATAGCCTGAAATCTCCTGTTTCCACTTTATGAAGGAGCTGGGTTTTTTTTTCTGGGTCAGTTTGGGGTGGATTCAGATGGAGAAAGACATGCTAGAAGCATCCTGCCAACATTCATTCAACATTTATGATGTTTCAGTCACTGTGCTGGGTCAGGGTACAGAAAGCACTAATAGGGCAGCGGAAGAGATGGTAAACAATTAAAATTGAGTTCTGGAAAAAATTAAAGGAGTAAAAAAAAAAGCCAAAATGAGGAACAGAGGAATAGATACTTAACAGGACATAACAGAAAACAAATATTAAAATGTCAGTCCTCATTGAAAGGAGATCAGTAAAGAAAAGGGACCAGGGGAGGGAGGAGGAAAGGGGAAGAGAAAAATACTGGGAAATTATATTGGCCAAATTATATTGTTGTACTGTGTGCATGTTCAAATATCTCACAACAAATCCCACTATTATGTAAAACTAAATGCACCAATAAAAAATATGGAAAAAAGTAAAAATAAGATGTCAGACCTTCATACAAATACACTAATTATTACATTAAATGTTAATGGACAAAACATCTTAATTAAAAGCAGAGATTGTCAGAATAAGCAAAACTCAACAATATGCCCTTTGTATTACAAAATCTTTAAAAAGCCTGAATAAGGCTGGGGCTGGTGGCACAGGGGTAGAGTGCGTGCCTAGCATGCATGAGGCACTGGGTTTGATCCCCCAGCATGAAATAATAATAAACAAATAAATAAAAGTATTGTGTCCATCTACAACTAAAAAAATGTTAAAAAGGCCTGGATAAAAATATGCTAATGGAAATACAGAAAAAGAAGGCTGAAATAGTTATATTAATATCTTATGAAGTGAGCTTCAAAACAAAGAATATCAGAAGAAAATAAGAGAGACATTTCATAATGATTATGTAATTGCTCAGAAAATCATAATAATTATAAATGTATCTATATCAGAATACATAAACCTACAAAATGAATTGAAAAGTAGACAATTCCACAGTTGTAATAGGAGATTTGATTGCTCTCTTTTAGCAACCAATAAAACAATTAGGCAAAACCCCAAAATAACAAAGACCATGATCAGTGATTCTCTAAGTGTAGTCAAGAGAACTTCTGATGGTTCCTGAGACCCTTATAGGATATCCACAAAATCAAATTTTTTTTCATAAGTTCATAAGATCTTATTTTACTTTTTCACTCTAATATTTTTATAAGTATACTGTGAAATTTTCTAGAGGTTACAAGATACTACAACAAATTGAAAGCAAGACCCAGCTGAAGAGATTTGCAAACACAGTTATCCATCATTTAAGAATGAGGACACATTCTGAGAAATGTGTCATTAGATGATACTTTCATTCTAAGAACATCAAGAGGTATCATTTTTGTTCATTGTAAAAGCGTACTTACACAAACCTAGACAGTATAGCCTACCACATATGTAGGGTATGAGGTAGATAACAGCATACATATGGCTAATTGCTGATAGAAATATTTTTATACAGCACATGACTATATGCAAAGCAATTCAACTTTTCTCACTAAATTTGTTTCAGAAAACATAGATGTTGTACATATTTGGTAGTCTGTTTTTATAAAATTTTACCTTTTATGCTAATGTTATTATTATTATTATTATTATATTTTATTTTTTGGTGGTACTAAGGATTGAATTTGGGGCCTAAAATTTGCTAGGCAAGCAGTGTGCCACTGAGCTACATTCTAGCCCTTTTTAAAAAACTTTATTTTGAGACAGGGTCTCACTAAATTGCCTCGGTTGGCCTCAAACTTGCAATCTGCCTCAGTGTCTAGAGTATCCTGGATCACAGGCAAAGTCCCTACTCACTGTACCATGCATATTGTTGCTATTTTTAAAGGAAGCAACTACAGAATACACATCCTCTTCACATACATAGGATGCATTCATTAAAATCAAGTATATGATAGGCCATAAAAAAAGTCTCAATAAATTTATAAGAACTGAGACCATATAGAGCATGTTCTCTGATCACAGTGGAATCAATAACAAGACAACATGGAAATCAGTCACAACATGACACCAATATGACACCCGAAATAGTTGGAAATTAAATAGTATACTTCTAAATATCACACAAGGTAAAAGAATTAATCACAAGAAAAATTAGAAAAGTTTCAAAGTGAATGATAGCAATACACAGTATATCTAAAGTTATGAGGTACAGCTAAAGCAGTAATGAGAGGAAAAATCATATCTTTAAATCTTTCTCTATATGTGTGATGTATATACACATAATCTATGTACATTAAAATATACATATATGCATGTTTATGTGTGTGTGTGTGTGTGTGTGTGGTGTATGTGTGTGTGTGTGTGTGTGTGTGTGTGTGTGTGTGTATGGAAGAAAGATTTAAAATCAATGACCTGTTTCTACCTCAAAAGCCAGAAGGAGAAAGATGAAGGGAAATGTTAGTACAACTCTTCTTGTTCTCTCTAGAATGGAGTGGTACATCTCTAGGGTCAGTCTGGAGTGAGTGACAAATGTGCCATGTCTTAAAATGCCTCAAATTGTTCATTCCTTCTAAGTCAATTTTTCTTTCCCTGAACTGTTATCATGATAGCCCTGGCAAACTATAGCCCTAGGATAGAGAGAATTTTTCAATGCTACCCTACCTCAGGTCCACAACCTGTGAGCCACTCCTGAAGTACCTCCCCCTAGCCTGCCTCAACCAAGAAATTCCCCTCCCATGTCCTCTCTCTGGTTAAGGCACACTTTGCCCATATCTCTCCAATTGTTTAGATAGTCTCTGAATACCTACAATTAGCTTAGTAAGACAGGGATTCTATAACATAGCTGTAGTTGAGACCAAGTTCTACAAATTATAGGCACCCTAGGCTAAGCCATCTGTTCTCTTTGAAACTCTCTGTACCATCTGAAAAATAGGAACAACACAGCTATCTCCTACTCTACAAGCTTGTCATAAATGCTGAATTGAATCACACATGCAAAAGGCCTAGCCTAGAATCTAGTCTTTGGCAGGGAGCCATGACTTTGGGCAAGGTCTTGGAGAGATGGACACTGACCCTGCCCCACCCTGATCACAGAATGTTCCTCACTCCCACACCAGGGACATGCACGGTTCCCTTGCCCCGCACCCTCTTCCTCACCTTGGAGCCTCAGGCTCTCCTGGTACTGGATGATGAAGTATTCCTGGGTCTGCTGCAGCTTCTTCAGCTCATTCTCTGTGTCCTGTGTGACCAGTCGCAGCTCTTCAAAGGTCTGGTTGATCTGAAGGTGCTTCTGGGACATGGCGTCAACCAGGATCCCGGCAGGAGAGCTGCACTAGAGACAAATTGAGGGGAAGTCACAAGTGACGAGGAGTAGAGTGCTGGGCAGAGAAGAAGGGAGAAAACCTCGGGCCTTGGGGAACGCTAATGCTATGACCCCAAACTCCAAACCTGGGGTGAGAAGGGTCGCCTGAGTCAGAAAGACAGTCATTTGCCAGAATTGGGGTAGAAAGGAGAAAGAAAGAAGAGAAACAAGTGGGGTAGATAATGGCATCTTCATAGAAGAAATTTCTATTTCAGAACAAGCCTCTGCCAGAGTATCCCTAAGAGGGTTCACTGAATTTCCTTTGGAGAAACGTCAACTCTACAGGCCAGATGTCAACTGGGTCTTCTACTGATGGGGACAACTCCGTATTCCAGGTTTATTCACTGAGCTAATCTAGAAGTGCTGACGCTTCAGAGCATGGCATGGCTTGTGAACACACACCATCCACACTGCACCCGAGACCTTCTTATGACTCAAGGAAGAGCGAGGAGACCAAACTTCAAACAGGTGGTATCCTGGGGACACCAAAATGAAGTTATCAGGGATATACCAAGAAGGCCTCCTTGGACCTCAGCGATCCTTTAACACCTAACTGAATTCACAGACTTTCCAATGAAATGTTCTCAGAAAAAAATCCAAACTCTTGTATAGTTTCAGCCAGCTTAGAGGACAGCCTTTACCTTCCTCTACCCAGATCCCCTGCTGCCTGACTACACCAGCAACCTGGACTTTCTATCTCTGTTCCTTGAATACAAAAGCGCGTACCTGCCTCAGGGCCTTTGCCTTTGCTGTTCCATCAGTCTAGAACATTCTGACACCAAATCCTTCTGAGGCAAGTCCTTTAACTCATTCCTTTTCAGAGGGGCCTTCCCTGTGGGGCCAATTTACAGCAACACTACTTTCTTTCTTTCTTTGGTCCTGGAGATTGAACTCAGGGGAACTTAACCACTGAGCTACATCCCGGCCCTTTTTTGAATTTTATTTAGAGACAGGGTCTCACTGAGTTGCTTGTGTCTCTCTAAGCTGCTGAGGCTGGCTTTGAACTCAAGATCCTCCTGTCTCAGCCTCCTGCATCACGGGGATTGCAGACATGTGCCATTAAGCCTGGTAGCAGCACGATTCTTATCCGAAAGTGCCTTTTACTTGTATTTTCACTTTTTGCTAGTCTGTTTTCTTGCATAAGGATGTGAGTTTCCCCAAGTGCTATGACCTCTCTGTCCCTGAGGCTTTGAACACCAGTTTGATGGAAGGGAGAAGGACTGTGCCCCTGATGTGACCACACCAGTACTTCAGACACGCGTTTCTCAATCAGGGCTGCATCCTTTCTATGTCCACAGGTAGCTCTGTGATTATAAGTTCAGGACACAAGTGTTGTATTGCAAGACCCTCTGTAACCTGGCCTCTGCTCCCTCTCCAACTTTACCCATTTACTCCCCAGCTGGCTCCCTTCTCCTCAGCTACACTGGCTACTTGCAAGACTTCAAATGTGACTCCATGGCTGAAGCCTTCCTGCCCTCCCATCTGCTGTTACTCCGAGCCATAAAACTCATCCTTCCTCCCTTCCTCCTTCTTGCCCCACCCCTTCCTCAAGACACTGCCCTGCCAGCTGCCTCAATCTGAAATGGCACTTTTCCCATATATGTCCCCTTAGCACTTGACTCACCTCTGGAGAATCTGTCTTTGCTGGGACTCCTTGTGGGCAGGGACAAAGCCTTTATCTGTTTCTCCTGTCCCAGCCCAGCATCAGACACATAGTAGGACCTCAATAAACATCTACTGAGTGAACTGTAAAATCCCTGCAATAGGTGTCCATAACTTAAATAAAAAATAAATAAATAATACCACTGTGATTCATGCACTTCCCTAAGGTCTTTCATTACGTCACTTTACAAAATTAATTTTGCTTTACTGCAGATAATACAGGATTTTCCATTGTCCATGCAGATGTTTGCTGCCGTTAGATTTTAGAAGTTGAGGGGCTGGGGATATAGCTCAGTTGGAAGAGGGCTTGCCTCACATGCATAAGGCCCTGGGTTCAATCCCCAGCACCACCAAAAAAAAAAAAAAAAAAAAAGATTTCAGAAAGTGGAGATAGGTCTCCCTCCTGCTCCCTGGGTCTTGCTTTTCTTAGCCTGCCTGTCTTCCATCTTCTAAACCTTGCCTTTGGTGTTCCTCACAGACACCAGCAGGGTACCATTTCTTATTTTGGTCCCAGTCCTATTTATTGAATATCAAATCTTTTCCCCTGGTGATTTGTAATGCCATCTCTGACAAAGAGGTAGTTTGCAGGTGTGTGTGTGCGTGCATGCGTGTGTGTTTAGGTTTCCTCTTTTGTTTCATTGGTCTGTTTGTCCAACCTTGGCACACACGGTATTTCATTTAGTTGTCATAATAACCCTATAAGGTAGGTACACCTATTTTACAATGGAAGGGATCTGGGGATGTGCTCAATGGTGGAGTGCTTGCACAGCATACATGATGGCGTGGGTTCAATACCTAGCACTATGAAGAAAAGAGAGAGAAAAGAAGAAAAAGAGATTCAGAGAGGTTAAGTAACTTGCTCAAGACACAAGATTGGTAAATGGTTGAGCTGGGGACTGAACCCGGGGTCACTCCACACCACATGCAGCACTGCCTCTCACATTTGCCCAAGTCTCCTATTTCTTTGGTGTTTTCCACATGCCGGAGTTTTGCAAAAACACAGTGTGTCAGGGGAGGACGGCATGAGGTGGCAGGACTCGCCAGCTCCTCTTCCCACACCCCCAGGRCACTCACATTGTTGGCTTCTCGGACCAGCCTCTGTTCATTGTACAGAATGTGCCGGATGCAGCGGACCAGTTCCATGGGGCAACGGTCATATGTGTTCTGAAAGAAGGCAATGGCAGCCACCAGTGGTCACCCTCTGCTCCAATCATGCAGATCCCCGCCACCTCTGCCSCTTCTTCTCCTTCAGCCCCTGCCTCAGCTTTTCCCAGGAAGCCTCAGGAGCCATCATTAGATACCTCTATCTCTCTTTTATTCCTCATGAATCTTTTTCTTTGGTTTGCAGTGACAGAAAACCCAGTTTACAAAGCACTTTCAATCTAACATTTCCTTTGACTTTCACAGCATGGAAACTCTATGACATAAAGAAATTATTATCCCCTTTTATAAACAAGAAAACTGATATTCAGAGAGGCTAAATACTTGTCCAGAGTCAAATAAATGAGAGAGTAGATGACTCAAGGCCCAGAGCATCCGCTGCCAATGTCAAGGTACTTTCTACCATACGCCTGCCCCTGGGTTCCTATTTTGTTTCCCCTCAGGTTTCTCCTGTTTCCTTCCCCTTCTGGGATGGACTTTCATTTCCCTGGTACTCTGGATTTAAGAGGGGTTCTCTAAGAAAAACAAAGGGAGTTCCAATAAATGCTTGACCATGATTACCACCCACACCCCTTTCCTGCTTTACAAAACATCCTTCTCTTCCTCCATACTCCCCCCAGAGGCTACATCTTTCTTCCAACCCTTAATTCAAAGCCCTTTTATCTAGTTCTTGCCTCCCAGGCGACTCTGTTCTTCAGCAACTGTCCCGCCTATAACAAAAAGAGCCCCAAGAGGGATGCCTCCTTCCCTATTTCTAGAATCTGCCAGCCTTCCTTTCTCTAGCAAAGGTATCCTGACTCAGTCTCCTTCATCCCTTCTGTTTGATCTGTCCACAATGCGGGTTCACTCATTGCACACACACTCCTACCTCTTTCTTTGTAGTAAGTTAAGGGAACCCAACAGGTCTGACTTAGAAAGAGGGGGTGGGGGAAATTGAAGAAAAGTTGCCACTAAGCTCCTGGTCACATGGTGAGTCAGTGGCCAGGCCAGCAAAACCCCCAGAGGTTCTGATGCTAAAATAAGAAGGCAGACGTGCCTCCCTGCAGGTGACCTGGTGTTCACACCCACCTGGAGCTGCGTGGCATAGTGCCCCAGCTTGATCTTCAGCAAAAACCCATCTTCCCCCACCTGGTGCTCCGCCTTCTTCTGCAGCTCTTGCACCAGGCCCTCCAGGAGCTGGGCGGCTTGGGCTCGGTCCTGGGGATTGTCCAGGTCAATGGCATCCCTGGGGGCAGAGGGGGGGGGCTTACTGTGGCACCTCCTTGGGCAAGGAGGACTAAAAGTGTGACATGGAAATTCCAGGGTCTTAACTAAAGGGTGCTCCAGGGCCCACAGAACTTGTTCCTAGCAGCTTAGAATTTAGAAACATTCTCTGTCCCCTCAGAGGCTCCAATTTCCCTGTTCCCCTTTCCCAGGGACACCGCCCCTTCCGCAGAGAACAGACAGGACCAGCAGAGTCACAAGAAACTATAAAGAGGAGATCTAGAGACCAAGGAGACCTGGATGGTAGAGACATCCTACCATGGCTGGCTTTCAATCCACTGTGCCAAGTAGTGCCGGACCTCGATGGGGAAGTGCTGTCCATACAGCACCTGCATCTGGCGCAGTGCATCTCCCTGCAGCTGCTGGGCCTGAATCCAGCCCGCCATGGCCCTTCACCTAGGGCAAACAGAGGGCTTAAGAGGTGCCTCCTACAGCAGGGACCCACCAGCCCTCTCATGCCCACCGGAGAACGACAGTCTCCCCCAGACACACTTTTCCTGTGAGGGAAGAAAAGACAGTAAGGAGGGGAAGACCGCCCTTCCCCTCCAACAAGGAACCCGCTGAGGTTTGGGGTGGGGTATGGAGAGGCAGGTGCCCTTCTCCTCTTCCTCTCCCCTCACCCTACTGGGGCTTCCCCAGAGTGGGGGGGACAGCTTAGAAACTGAAAGAGAAACTTGACAGCAGAGGCCCATAGGCCCTTAGGAGAGGGCTGCAAAAATCCCCCTCCCTGCCTTGGACCCTGACTCTTAATTTCTAAAGGGGAGATGCTCCAGTTCAAAATTAGGGCAACGCAGTAATTGCCACTCGACAGCCCGGTCCCTTCAGGCACGCGGCTGAGGCTGTCAAAGAGAACGGGTTGGGGAGATGGACACTGGTCTCTGGCATGCCCCTCGGTTGTGCTCCAGTGACACCCTCTCTCCGGGTCCGGCCCGACAGCGCTCTCCTCCACTGCGTGCCAGGACAGTGCCCACGGGGGACCGCTTCCCTTCATCTTGGCGACTGGTCCCTCGTCCCTCTTCCGCTCTACACTCTGCACGAAACTCCCTCTTCAAGCCGGCAAGCCGGAGCGATCTCTGCTAGGTTCCCAGCCGTCGGGCTCCAGGGTGGCTGGTGCCTGGGTGCCGGCCGGGCCAACAGTCGCGTGGCCCTCCCAGCACGCCGCCCGGGCCGCGCCGCTGGCCACCTACCTGGTGAGGCCGAGCCCTCCGGCGGCGAGCTCGGCTCTGCGCGCGCGGCTCCTGCTCGGGGTCCGGACTCCCGGGGGAGGCGGCAGCGGTGGCGGTGGCGGCGGCGGCGGCTGTTACTACAGGAAGGAGCAGAGAGCAGCGATTTCCTCCTCAAAGGTCAGCTGCCTCTGATAGACCATACACAGCGCGCGAGCGCTCGCCAGCACCCCTCCCAGCCCCTGTCGCTCCCTCTCTGCCTCCGCCCTCGGTCGCCGGCTCCGGGCGAGTGCGCAGCGGCGGCGGCCGGAGAGGCGGCCGGAGAGGCGGGGCGGCGCCGCGCGTGGGGGCTGCCCCGACGGCTGGGTCCCCCGGGAATCCCAGCCAGCCCTCGCCTGCGGCTCGACGGGAGCGTCCCGGCCCTGGTGGGCAAGAAGCGCTGGACAGCTTGGGAGGGAAATCCCGGGCTCTGAAAATCCCAAACCAGAGCTTCAGTTTTCTCATTCGCAGAAGCGGTGGAGGGAAGGGTGGACTAGCTGGGGATGACCCCCAGCTCCGGCAAGTGTCATCCTTTGAGTTTCTAGATTGAAAAGGGTGTGTGTGTGTGTGTGTGTGTGTGTGTGTGTGTGTGTGTGTGTTGTGTGTTTTCATGTAGGTTTGAGGCCACAGCTTTTGTGACCTCAAAGGTAAAAACTTAAGAGAGGGAAAGGACTGGGGATTCCGGAGAAACCAACCTCACTACCACCGCCTCCTCTCCTTCCTCCTTCCATTACTCCCACCGTCTGAACTCTCTGGTGAAGAAGCACCAGACAAGAACCTTTGCAATCATATGATTCAGTCCTCTGCCCCCCACCTCCTGAACTTTGTAGGTAAGAAATGTAAGTCCAGGGAGGAAAAGGGGGTTGCCCAGGAACACATAGTGCGTACAGGGCCTAATCCAATCTGACATAACCCAATCTGCCCCTCCATTCTCCCCAGCCCAGTCACATCTGAGGCTGGCCCTAGCTTTGAAAAGACCCAGGGAGGTGGTCTTGAATCCTGACAACCTTGTGTCTGCCTACATGCCTTGCCACAGCAGTGAATCTCTTCCCTAGACCCTTGCCTAGGTCACAGTCCCCTTCCCCAAGGGTCTCCCCCCCCCCCCACAAGGCCTGAGGAGTTGGGTAAGGCTATCCTGGAAGCTTTCCATCCCCTTTGCCCAGCTTCCCTCTCTTCTGGGCCTCCTCTCTGCCTGGCATTTGGTTTTGGCAGTACCAAAGGAGGGGCCAGCCTGGCTGCCCACTCATGGCCCAACTGAGCCAAGGCCCAGTGTCCTGGGGGAATAATTCTCATTTGCCTCCTCCCTCCCTAATTCCTTCTTGGATCTGCCCTTTTCTCTCCATTCCTCACTCCTACTCCCCCCTTCTTGTTCCTCACTACCTCCCTCTGTTTCTTTTTCTCTTTCTTTCTTTTCTTTTCTTTTTTTTTTCTTTTTTTTTACTTCAGAGAAAAAAAACAAGTTTTTCTGCAGAAGTTGAAATATCTGGGTTCTCCCCGCCTTCCATGTGTGGCCACAGTGACTTAGTTGGCAGAATCACGAGGAAAGGAATTGAAAACTGAAAGGGAGCACATGGAGGATTTGAGGAAACCTTGCTTTTCAGATGTTCCTGAGGGCGTGCCTAGGTAGGAGGAAGCTCCTCGAGCCCTCTTCTCTCCCTTCTTCCCCACCACCCTGTGCAATAGTTTTGGTGGGCCGGGGATCAAATACACATACAGCTAGGGATCACCTGGAGTGAGAATCAAATATTGGAGCTGAAAGTGACCATGACAATTTTACAAATGGGAAAACAAACACTGGAGAGAGGAAGTGACTTGGTTGGTGGCAGATCTCAATCTTTCACCAAGAGGTGGGCAGGCCTCGATTGCCAAGTATGCCCACCAGATTTTTTTGTTGTTGTGTTGAAGATTGCACCCAGAGTTGTTTTATCCCTCAGCCCCATCCTCTTTTTTTTTTTTTTTTTTTTTTTTTTGAGGCAGGGTCTCACTAAGTTTTCTTAGGGCATCACTAAGTTGCTAAGGATGGCCTCAAACTTGCTGTCCTCCTATCTTCAACCTCCCGAGTTCCCGGGATTACAGGCTTGTACCACCGTGCCTGGCTGCCCACCAGCCTTTTGCTGCAGGCAAATGTGAAAGTCAATGGCTGGGAGCAGATTCCTTGAGTTTCCAAGTCCTCTGAGCAAGGGCTGGAAGCAGAGGACCACTTTGGCTGTAGATTCACATCAAGGTACCTAGAAGAAGGTGATATGAGGGTGATGCTTAAGAAAAGGGACCTTGCCAGCCCACTTCAGGTAACTGCCTCTGAATACTTCTCCCCTAGGGCCTGCAGGGAACTCCTGCAGGGAATTCCCACCCACCAAACATCTGGCTGAACTGGGTTTGGCTTAGCTAGGGTGTGGGTAAGTCTGGGTCCTAAAGAGCTATTATTGAGGTGTCGGTGAACAGAACTGGAAAAGCTAATCTAAAAGGGAGTGGCAGAGTCTTCAGAGCCCTCAGGTACCCCCATACCACATCTCTGTCCAGCAGGTGTTTCGCTAGCTCTACTCTCTCTAGCTCTCTCCAGTTGGGTCTTTGTCTGTGAGGCTCTACGTCTTGTGTCTCTTGCTATTTGTTTCCTCCTCTTGCTTTGATATTCTCCTCTCCCCCCAGCCCGATCCCCACCATCTCCCTGACTCTCGGTTTCTGCCTGGGTTTTCTCTCCCTTTCTCTGGGCCTCTGTTCTCTGAGATGCAGTGTGAAGGAGGAGGGAYTTTGGAGCTCTCTCAGGATGGGCAAAGGCCACTTGAGGGATTAAAGGAGAGCAGAGTGTCAGAGAGTTGGGTTGGGGGCAGAGGTGACTGTGGTCGTCCAGATAACACAACTACCCGGAAATGTCAAATTTGGGGTTTCTTTTTGTTTTCAGTCACTTGGTTTGGTCTTTGCTATTTCCCACCACAAAGCACCCTAGTGGTTTTAGGGGACCATGCTATGGGGGAGAAAACTGAGGCTTCAAGGATGGGGTTCAGGAAGATTAAAAACTGCCTAGTCTGGATTGAACCAGGGTTAGAGGCTGGTCTCATTGTCCCCAACTGTCCTTCACCCCAAATTCCAGGTTGTAGCATGAGATGAGGAGTGAGGAAGGATTTGAAAAAAAAAAAAATCTTACAGGAATACAGATCCCAAAAGAAATGGGCCATATTTTACTAAGAATAGTAATGATCTGTAGCCTAGTTTGTATTTAGCATACTATACACACATCCTGAACTGAATCATGGCACATGTGTGTACAACATGGTAGAACTCTTCAATTCCACTGATACTCGCATCAGTCTGAAAGGTAGGGCCAGAATCATCCCCTTTGATTAATCCACAAAGGAGATCTATCTGAAGCTGTCTGGTCCAGGAGTGCCCAGCTGGAACCACAATCCCAGTTGCCCAGACCTAAGGCAGGGGCTCAGTGCGACTCTCCTAGAACTCTCCCAACCCCAGCACACTTGCAGATTGGAGAGGTCTCCATAAGTTAGGTTAGCTCATGACTGTTCTGGGGTACAGAGCATGGCACCTCCACTTCCATGCTGCCCATGCCCTGCTTTGTTAAATGATTCAGTGTGACGTATGTTATGTGAAGATGGGTCAAGTTCATGGTGGAAGGGAAYGATAATCCTAAGTCCCCTTTCTGCCCTGCCCTTGGGGACCAGGTTAGTGGGTGAAGCCCCTATCCTAGGGAGACCAGATGGAGGTCACCTTGACCTGATTGTCCTGGAGGTGGAAGGAGGTGGTACAGAGACCCCTTTGTTTTTTTCTGCTCCAAATCCCTTCTTCAAGGAGAGTTTCTGTTGCCTGGGAGCCAGAATGGGGAGGGGGCTTCCCAAGAAAGTTGAAGGTAGTCCCAGGAAATATTTCTGTACCCTCTGAACTTTGTGGCAGACAGAGGAGAACTGACACCCTGGGGCCTTTAATATCCTGCTTTGCCCCCACCTTGCTTCTGTTTGGACTATCTACCTCCATGGTATCCCCAACCATAAGGATCCTAATGTGGAGCCACAGGCCACACTCAGAGTACACCCCACCTCTGAGACCAGTCCCCTCACCGAGTATCTCCCTGTAGAAATGCTGCCCTGTTCTTGTCCATGAAGACAGAGGAGACCTGGGGAGGGGGTGGGGGTGGGTGAAGGGGTAAGGAGCAAGGAGCTGTGGGATGGGGTGAAGCCCATTCTTACCTCTGTCCCCTCTCCTCCACCTTCTTCAGAGAAGTCAGTTTACTGTGAAGTCACCAACAGAACACAAGGCTACCCTGCCTGAGGCATGGTGACTGTCCTCTATTTCTGGGAACAGAATGAGGGGAGGGAAGCATGTGGAACTGGACAGAGGGAGGGGGATCCTGCCTCCTTTACCTGCTGCCATGGGGGAGAGCTGGCAGGTGGCTTTTCTCTGGGCACAGAAAGGAGAGTTGAAGGCCATCCTGGTGGCCCCATCAGGTGGACAGGGAGGAACCCACCATTCGCATGTCCTCCTGGTTGCGGAGCCTGGTGGAGGGACTGGATGGGCAGCTGGGAGGGCTTGGCTGCTGTCCAGAGCAGACTTGGCTTCTTATCCACGTCCATGATGGCTATCGCCCCTCTTCCGGCTGAGCTAGTTTCTCCTCCTTCTAGCCCAACAAGAACTCTTTTGTGCCTTGGCCAGCTCAGTACCCAACCTCAAGCCCTCTGGGGTTTCTGTGGGAGAGGGCTACACACCTCCTTCCCTGCCATCCACCAGGCTCTGCCACTTTCCTTTGTTATGACTGGAGGGGGTTTCTTTCTTGTCACCTCTGTTTCCCTTTGTTCTCTGGTTTTTTTTCTTTATTTTTATTTTTTATTTTTTTGTCATACTGGGGACTGAACCAAAAAGCACTCTACCACTGAGCTGCGTTCCCAGCCCTTTTGATTTATTTTATTTTTTGGATTTGGGGATTGAACCACTAAGCTCTATCCCCAGCCCTTTTGTGTTTTATTTTGAGACAGGGTTTTGCTAAGTTGCTCAGGCTGGCCTCAAACCTGCGATCCTCCTGCCACAGCCTCCCAAGTTGCTGGAATTACAGGCATGGCCCTTTTTATTTTATTGATTTTTTAAAATTTTGATATAGGACCCCACTGAATTACCTAGGCTGGCTTGACACTGCCATTTTCCTGCCTCAGACTCCCGAGTAGCTGGGATTACAAACCCCCTTCCTTGATTTCTTAAATCTTATACTCACTTATATCTTCCCTGCTCATTCCCCTGCTCCAAGCCTCAAAGTAGGACTCCCTACTCCAGGAGCAAATAGGGAACATAAAGTCAAAACGAACACAGAACCAATGACCCAGCCCTTTCTTTCTCTTACTACTGGCCTGGTCTTCATCTGCCGCTGACATCAGCCTCAACCAAGGGGTTTTCCTTCACCCTGTGCTCTAGCCATCCAGTCCTCCCTTATACCATCCTCTCAACACTAAACTTTTACGCACTCAATTCAACCTACCTAGAATATCATTCTTCCCTTGGCCACCTGGTGAAATCCTCCTCATCTTTCCCAGGGTCCGTGTAGCCTAGAGGAAAATAAAAAGGCTTTGGAATCATAAGGACCTGATGCAAACCCTGGCTCTGCTGTGTGATGTTGGGTACTGAGTTGCTTCTCTGAGCTGAGCACCCTCACGTGCAAAAGAAAGACAGAAGGCTTACCTGCCAGGATTGCTGTTAAGACTTGGTCACAGTGGCTCGGTGGTAGAGCACTTGCCTGGCACAATAATAAGACCAGTGAATCTAGGCATTTTATCCTCTGTCACTCCATCCCATCTGCATTGTGGGCCCCTTCTTATGGCTCTAACTAGTTCCCTAAAGGTCTCTGTCCCACTGCTTATTCATAATAGAGGCTTCAGAAATGTTTATTGGATTAAGAAGTTCCTAAAACAACCCAGGGTTCCCAGAACTCCAACAGTTCAGAGCAGACCTCCTTTCTCTCACCCCAACCCACAGTACCCAATGGCGTTCCCCTCTACCGCCCTGGCCTCTGCGTGCTCTAGTCCCACTGACCTGCTTCTGTCCAGGGCAGCAGCAGCCGCAGCCTCATTGTTGCCCCGTGCAGGGCTGACTTTTGAGTTCTTAACCTTCCCAGTAAGCTAGCAAGGTACTGGCCGAGGTGGCACTCTGCTCTCTCTCCTGCATCAGCCCCACCCGCCCTGGATAAGGCAGCATTGCCTCAGGACTCTGGGTGGAGAGGACATGGTGACCCTGTCCCAGGAGGCAAGGGGAGCCCTTGTGCTTTCCAGAAGGCCACCCCTTTAGCTCTGACTGGAAGGGAGCCCAGAGAGGTGAGGCACACACAGGACAGCATGTGAGGCTCTGTAGGGGATGAGTCCTGCAAAGACCCAGACACTCACCACTCACATCCCCTCCCCTCCCCTCCCCTAGACTCCTCCCCTCCCCTCTGCCTCCTGGCCCAGTAAGCTTACTGGAATTGGGCTGAGAGAAAGAAAGAGGCAAAATGTTCTTTTATTTAGCATCTTCTTTAAGCCAGGCACAGGGCTTGGTTGGTTTCAAAAGCACTCTCTGCTTTTTCCTTTAAACAATGTCCATTTTACTCATGTTCTAATGGGTAGGACATACATATGGTACAAAATTCAAAAGATTCAAAAGGACCGATGGTGAAAAGTTAATCTCTCCCTTTTCCTGTCCCCCATGGCCCTTCTGGAGGGACACCTACAGTTACTAGGGTCTTGTGCATGCCCCAGAAAGATTCTGTGCACTTATAAACATATACTTTACCTCTTTAAAAAAAATTTTTTTAGTTGTGGATGAACACACAGTATCTTTGTTTATCTTTATATGCTGCTGAAGATCGAACCCAGTGCCTCACACACGCGAGGCAAGCGCTTTACCACTGAGCTATAGCCCCAGCCCTCATGCTTGACCTCTTAACTGACTTACACATGAGGGGAACTGAGGCTCTCAGAGATGTTAAGTGGTTTCATTGAGGCCACACAGCTGTTGAGTTTGTAGAGCCAAGCTTTGGAATAATATCTAACTCTTCATCACTTCAACATCCTTCCTAGACAGCTACCCATGACAACCCTCCATGCTGAGGCCCTAGAGATCTGGGGTTTCTGGTGTACTGGCTGCTGAATATCCTGTGCCTCCACCCTGTGGCTCAGGGGGCCTGAACTGGTTTATCCCATATGGAAAAGGGGAAATTGTTGCTAGTGCCCTTCTTAACTAATGTGTAGCAGGTGGTCCCCCTCAGGCCAGCCCAATTCCTGGGATCCAGGATTTGGAAAGGGAAGCCACATGAACATGGGGTTCTAGCTGGAGGGGGTTGTGGCTGTGGTTTCAATTATGTTTACAGAAAATGGCCTCATGATTTCCCTGTGGCTAGGCAGGAGTGAGGGAGGATGGAAATGGTGGTAGCCACATGGTCAACTATGAAAGGGAAGGAAGGAGGCCGCAGTCAGTCCTAGCCAGGAGCAGAGGGTTGTATGGCCAAGGGTGCACTCAACTTCAGGCTCTTAAGGCCTTTTTTTTCCTCTTGGATATGCCAAGGTGGACTGAGATATGATCCCCTGTATCTCCAGGTATATATCCTTGGGAACTTTCTGGATCCCAGCTTCCTGTTCAGTTTCTTTCTAGAACTCCATTTGTGTCTCAGTCTGGTGTCCTCTCAACTTAGAGGTCTATGTTCCTGAGGCCCAAAGAAGAGGATCTCTCCTTATCTGAATTGTTAAGCAGAGACAGGTGTTAGAACCTTCTTTCTTGTTCCAGGATGGCAACTTTCTGTCTAGCTAATGTAATCTCAGAACTTTCCACCCTTCGTGTTGGTACACACAGATGGCCAGGTCTAGCTAAATGCTTTGTGATCAGAAATGTGCCATGATCTGCAAAAATAAAGTGGCAACCTGCCCAACCCTTAGGGACATTTAAACTGACAGCCTCACAGATGCCACTCATAGCAACCATGGGATCTACATTGAGTTCTAGAACTTGGTCAGTCTTAGGAAGCAGGATATAATCTTAGTTTAAAATCAACAACAGGGGCTGGGGATGTGGCTCAAGCAGTAGCGCGCTCACCTGGCATGTGTGCAGCCCATATACAAACAGCACCACATACAAACAAAGATGTTGTGTCTGCCGAAAACTAAAAATAAATAAATAAATATTTTTAAAAAATCAACAATAATAGTTAACAGCATTATAGTGTTTGACAGTATTTGAAGCACTTTGCACACATTAACTTAATTCTTCTGACATTATGAGGTAGATACTGTTATTGTTGCCATGTTATGAATGAGAAGATGGAGGCAGAAACTGCTCAGAGTCACATGGCTCAAGGAATTGACAGAGCCTGATTTTAGACCTTTAATGCCTATGTAGTCCTTATAGTTTTCATTCCATTCCTAGAACATAGCATATCTATTAGGTGTCTACTCAGGCCTGGGTGTGAGTGGGAGGGACTTAACTTAAGATATTGTGTCTGCTTTGGGGGGTAGAGACACATGTTTAAAAATTACCCTTCAAACACAAGAGGTGCTGAACCAAAAGCGTCAGCAATGTGAGGCAGGAACCAGGGAGGGCGAGGTTCATGCTTCTTAGAGCAAAGGTCACAGAAGAGCAGGCAGTGAGAGGACAGGAGGTGTTCAGGCAGAGGCAATAGCATGTGCGCAGGCATGAAGGCTTGCAAGGAAAAATGTGTGCCTTACTGTCAAAACATCATGGGCAGTGATTGTCAAGAGGAGTTGCCAGAGATCTCAGGGTTACTGCTTCCATCCTGCTTCCTGTTCCAGCCTCCAAGCTGCCTGCATCTATTCTGTGCAGAGCACTGTGCCAGGTGTTAGCCCAGACTGTGTGATAGGATCAGTATTCTGGTTAGGGGAGAAGGGCTTTGTGATCAGCTAAGGACCCAAAGACTTTTGTGACTGGTGTTATTCCGAAGGTGAAGGGAAGGCTGATGGGAAGGGCTGTCAAAAGAGGATTATGGGAGAGCTTGCAGCTCTTGGTCATCTCTGGCCATGAAAAATTTTAGCGGGACAACTTGTAGGAAACGGTAGGGAAGGGGGCCCTCTGTGTGTCTGTGTGGGGCTGAGAAGGGGGTCTTTCCTCTTTTGCTCCTGCAGCTGGGTTTCTGGGGCTCTGATATGCCTTGTTTCAATGCTGGCCCTTGGAGGGTTGCCAGGGAAACCACTGGCCAGCTCCGGAGATGGAACGCAGGGGAGGAGAGTGGGTGACTCAGGCTGCCTTCTCACACACCGCAACCCCTCCCCACCACTGGGGAAAGGATCTGGGAGACCCCCTGCCCCTGGATCCTACTGAGACGATCCCGCTTATTCTCCGCTGGATAAAGCAGTCGCTTCCGCAGCCCTGACTGGTGGGAGCTAGCAAGATTTCCCTGGGGAGGCAACTGTCTCCCCTGACCCCCCATAGATTCACGCTGGGACAGTGCACGAATCCAGTCAGTTTGGGCCAAGTGTAAGCTCCTGCTGTTTCCATCCAGGCTTCTCGCCCGTCCGGGTGGTGCGGCTGGAGACCTGGCAGAGCCACTCTCACGGGAGCAAGCCCAGGATAATTATTGATCAGGGCTGCTGTGGACTTTTGACCTCGGCCTGTGAAGGGAGAGGACCCAGAACGCAGGCCCTGGCGCGGAGGGAGGGACGTGGGCGGGACACGGAGTTGGTGGGGGGGGGGAGTGCCACGACCACGAGCGCTGGCTGGAGCCCTGTAGTAGTGGTCGACCCTCCCCAAACAAAGCAGCATGTGCTTGCCGCTCCGGCTGGGGAGTRGTGGCAGCAGACACTCAGTTGGCCAAGGAGCTGGTGTGCGTGGAGCAGGCCGGGTCGAGCGCGTTGCCACCGCGGGTGYGCGAGGGGGTTCTGCGTCCCGGTAGGGCGGCCGCGGAGGGGGCGCAAGAGACCAAGGGGCTCGCGAGCGCGCGCCAGGCGGAACCAGGAAGCCGGGCGCGCTCGGGGCTGCGGGCGGCGCGCGTCCCCGGGCCTCCGCGAGAGAGAGGCGCGCGCGCCCCCGTGGGCCCCGGCGGGAGAAGAGTCGGCGGCCGGAGCCGTCACCCCGGGCGGGGACCGTGCGCAGGCGAGGACGCGCGGCGGCCCGGCCGAGGGAGGGAGCGAGCGAGCGGGCGGGCGGGCGAGCGGGCGAGCGAGAGCGTGGGGCCGGAGTAGCCGCTGGCGCCCGAGGGGCCGAGCGAGGTAGGAGCTGTGGGACGAGCCCGGGGCCGGGGGAGAGAGGCCGGGAGCAGGGCCGGGCGGGGCCCCCGCTCCAGCCGCCAAAACGCCCGGCMGGGCCGCTCCGCCGCCATCGCTCCCGGGCCGTGAGGCGGCCGCCGTGGCTGCGCACTGGGTGAGGGGAGCCCTGGGGGAGACGCGGCCGTGGCGGGCTGCAGAGGGGGCCGGGGCCGGGGTGGGGCGCGCGAGGGGGCTGGTGCGGAGGCTGCGGCGGAGCGGAGGGTGTGCAGAGCAAAGGCTGCGTGCGCGCGGGTTCGAGTGGGTGTGTGAGGGACCCCCGCCGGACCCCCAGCAGCGAAGGAGGCTGCTGTCCGCCACCTCGCACCTTCCTGTTGCAATTCCGAAGAGTCCCTGCGCGGCCCTTGCTTGCTTTCCCCTTTTTTTCCCCTCGCTTCGAAAGAGGTGCCTTCGGTTCCCGGGGTTGAGATGAGCCTGGGGGTGTCGGGTGGGGTGGGGGATATTAGCAAAGCTCCAAGAAACAGCGCCTTATAAGGAGTCAACGACAAATGCGAACATTTTGATAAGGCTCTGGGCTGCGGGATCCCACATCAGGACCCGCCAGGCCTGGGCAGTACGTGTGGCGGTGGGATGCGGGGTGTTCTTTTTTACAAGCCAGGGATAAAGAGCAAAGTGCTCCTGGTGTCCGGGGTAGATATGGAGAGTCGGAAGGGGAGTCGTCTTATCACAGAAACTGGTCTGAGGCTAAAGGAATCTGGCAAGATGGTCAGGGTGATCAAAGAGGAAAGAACTTGTGTGGAGCAAAAGGCGTTTGCAAACACTTGTAGCCAGCAGTGATGAAAAAAGGCACGGAAGAAAAACAAGCGCCAGCTTTTAGGAAGATGGGATTAATGAAAACCACAGGAATCCTAACGGCAAAAAGAGATACCGATTCTCTTTCCCCAAATTTTCTTTCTTTCATGCCCATGCTCTTGTTCTTAACCCATCATACCTGTATCAAGTAAATAATGGCAGAAGTGGGTCATAGAATCTTAGAGCTGAAAGAGACCCCCAYTATTATGCTGCATACTTTTATTGTTCAAACGGGGAAACTAAGGCCCAGATAGGTGGAGTAGGTGACCTATTCTATTCACAAGGCTGTTTGTTTAGTAGTTCAGGGACTGAAACTTGGGTCTGAGGACTCTCACATCTGTTCTCTTCTCAAAACATAGAGAAGTTTATAGATTATTGCCTAAGTACAGTTCCATACATTGTCTCTGGAATGTACTTGGGCCCTTTAAAGGACTGGTGTGTCACCAAATAATACACTGGGCCTATGTCATTTTTGTCAGTCTTCAAGTGTTTATCATCTTGTATCTTAGGTTTCCAAAGCCGTTGGATTGCCGCCTGGGCCATAATAAGCTTTCAGCTGTTGAGTCTACATTATCTCAAATAATTTTGTTATCATTCAATTAAGATAATAGAACTTTGCATCTTTTCTCAACATTCTACTATTCATTTGTTTATGTTCTATTGTTTTATATTGTTATCTACAGTTCTTAGAAGAAGATGTATTTGATTTAGTCTGCCTTTCATGTTTCTCTAATTTATTTTGTAACACTGAACATTAGATTGGTTCTGATTACAAATGAGGGGAATGCTATTGATCAACTTTGTCTTAAGGCTTTGGGTTTTTTTTATTTGGATACTAATTTCTATCTCATGAAAGATCACAGTTGTTAGAATTAATGGTGTTAAGTAGGAAAAGTGGCTGCTGATTTTAAGAAAAATTTACAATGCAGCAACAATAATTTTAAAACCACCTTTGGTTGAGTTGTCATCTGGTAAGATGATTTGCTCTGAAAGATAAAAATTTCAAACACAAGGTTGAGATACAGAGAAGGAATGGAGAGATTTTTTTTTTTTTTTAAGCTAACATCAGGGGAAAAAAAAAAGTTTTATCTATACCAGCAGTTTGGTTATTGCATAACTTAGAGCTAAACTCTCCACAAAATCTTTGCTGTATACCTAACTGAATAAAATATCCCACCTTCTCACTAGTTCTTACTTTTTCAGTTTACATATTTTTGCTAACAGGATATTAAAATGGATTATGTTAAGTGTAAGGTAGATATGTTTCTTAAATGTGTACTTCATAATATGTATGATAGTAGGGGAAAAAGTGCTATCATTGTTTGGAGTGTTACAACATAAATATTTTGGCCAACACTTCCTATCATGCTGTTGACTTCTCATTTCACCTCCATTTTCTTCCTCTCAAGTAATTTTGTTTTTATTTTATTTACATATGCAAAAAACATATCAAGACTAAAGGTGTCATTTATTGATTTTGGGGGTACTTATTTGAATTTTTTTCATATTATTATTAGTATTCAGATTATTTGTGATTTGTGATAGACTTATATTTATGAATATACTTCGTGTGGTTCCTTTGGCTTATGGTTATGTAGGTAGGTAAGACAGGTGATCCTCTTGTAAAAAGAAGAGGCTATAGAGGTAAATAACTTGCTCAAGATTAAAGGCAAATTTAAGGTGGACTCAAAGGAAGCCTAATTGTTGTAGTGTCTTACAAGGCATGTATGTACATTATAAAGTTATTTATAGATCCATGGACATTCCATCAATGATGCATTTTCCCCTTTCTATTAGAGTATAGATTACCCATCATTCCTACAAAAGAAAGCATGAAACCCTTAAAAAGCCGCTATTTGCATGTGTGTGTTATTAATTTATTTATTTTTTAGCATTTGAAACATTGTTTAAAAAATTTGCCTGGAAATCAGGGTCACTGAGCTCAGAAGATTATCCTTTTTCTATATAATATAGTATGAAAATACGGTGACTTTGAAACTTCTTAATGAAAATGATGTTTAAAAATTAGCCCTAAGGTATAGTCTCCAGATATATGCGTGATATTAAAAAAAATTCTTTTAATCTAAGCTCTGAATAGAGCTGTTCCAAAATCTGAAGTATTTTTCCCCTACAGTGTGGTAAACACAACTGTTTTATGCTTATTTCTGGGAATAAGAAAGTCAGATTTAACAATCTAGTTTCCATTGATCAGACAGGGTTGTTTTTTTTTTTTTTTGTTATTGTTGTTTTTTGTTTTTTTGTGTGTGGTATGAAACTAAAATTTTGCACATGTGAGGAAGCACTGGGCTGCACTGGGCTGCATTCCCGGCCCTTTTTATTTTACTTTGAGACAAAGTTGTACTGAGTTGCCTGGGCTGGCCTCCCTTGAACTTGCCATCCTTATATACTTCTGCCTCTTGCCACAACACGGAGCAATCAGTTTTTCCACATTTAAATTTTAAGCATCTCAGTGATAAGAGTTTTTAATTGTATTCACTCTTACTTAATTATAGTGACCTTATTTGAAGGAAAATATTGACATTGGATGTTTTATTAAGGATGATCCTTTACTACTTAAAAACCTAAGCCACCTTAGATATGATTTTATATATTTAAATCTATACTATTTTTACCCATCAAAAGAGGGGAGTAATTTACAGATGTTAGATTTTTAGTTGATTGAATAAGACCCTCACTTTTGGTGGTTTCAGGGTTTTAGATGATGTTTTATTACTTTTGTTAGTTTTGGTCACACCCATGACTTCCTTGGAAGGTATCTTTGAGGTTTGGTTTCCTTTTTTTTTTTTAATGGTAATATTGGGGTGGGGGTGCTTCCTGTTTATATTTTCAAAATTAGGTCCACGTGTCAACCTTCTTGTAGTATCACATTTTTATTTTCAACATACAAAGACAGACATCAGATAAGGCGTGGTTTATCTTTGACCCATTGTTCTGCTTACAGGACAGTGTCACTGGGCTAAGCCTGAATGTCCAATTGGGAAGGCAAGAACTTGAATCTTCTCCCAACTCTCTTCAAGGTTTAGCAGCCTTGGAAGGGAACCTTAACAATTAACAGAAAAAAACAGGACTCCTGCTCTGATTCCAGGTACCAGAAAATTTTATAGCACTAAGATAGAGAAGAAACATGTTATATGCTTTTCTGTCAGCACTCTGAAAAAGAGTTGCCATAAGTTTGTATGACATAGAAGCTCATTTATAAAGCAGTAGCTCTAGTGGGTTTTCTGACCTTATCTAAAAGCCATATATGGTGTCAGGGAAGACTTAATAAGAACAAGGAGAAATTTTAGGCTATGGTAGTAGAGCAGTCACCCTCAGTCTTAAAACTCTTCTTTGGCCCTCTGGAATAATTTTTAAGTGGACTGTTGGGGGGAGGCAGAAGTGGGGATGCTGGGGATTGAACCCAAGGCTCTAAGTATACTAGACAAATTCTATACTCCTGGGCTGTATCCCCAGCTTTGCAGGGTCACTTTTAATGTAAATGTTAGAAAATGAGTTATGTGGAGCCCTGTAGTATTGCTTCAGTGATTAAAGCCAGTCATCTTTTCCCAGCCTTTAACGTACTTTATTCTAAGAAGTATAATAACTAAATAGACTCCTAATTGAATTGGCATTCAGATCTGTTTGCAGTTTGGGGGCATTTACCTCTTCTGCATTTTCTTTTGAATCTGTCCTAAAAGCAATACTACATTAGGATGGGCACAATTGTGCATAAGTAATTTGCAAGTGAAGTTATTACYGGGACTACCTTGACCTCCCATTCCCTCCACCCCTGTAGTCAAGAAAGAAGTTACAATTGATCTTTTACAGGATATTTTTCCTTTGAGTTTATTCATATTAATTATATCCATTTCCTCGTGTATCATACCATTAAGATAAAAAACAAATATATTGATTGATTCAGAACATTTATCTTTTTCTACCTGCTTTTGGAAGCTAGCTTGCAAAATCTACTGCAACACTCTCCATTTATTCTTCCATTACCTTTGGCACTCTGAATAACCCTTTTCAACATTTTTGCACATTTTTATTATGAAGTGAAATAGCTCCGTATTTTATGCACTGCTAGTTTTTTGAGGTGCTTGTACTGACTCATTTTTAAAATTATACTAAGATAGAGAGCATGGTTTGAGAGC